TTGAGGTCTGCTATTCAGGCCCGCTCTGCCTTTTTAAATCCCAGGGGTGAACAACTGTTTTCAACTTTTTATTACTGAAATTTTCTTACACACACACATGCGTGCATGTGCATGCCCACACACATATTGAGGTCTGCTATTCAGGCCCGCTCTGCCTTTTTAAATCCCAGGGGTGAACAACTGTTTTTAACTTTTTATTACTGAAATTTTCTTACACACACACATGCGTGCATGTGCATGCCCACACACATATGTGTTAAGACACTAGTAAAATAAACTCCCAGATATCTAACACTCAGCTTCAACAATTATCAACACTTTACTGCAATCTAGTTGCAGGGCATTAAGAGCCATCTTGTGGAAGAGCTCATTCCTTCTGCTGTTACTCCATTTAGTTGAATATTGAGTGCCTACTATGCACCAGGTGCTAGAGAGACAGAAGTGGTCAGAACTGACAAGGTGCCTCCCTTTCTGAGCCTTAAATTCTAGTAGGCAAGAGAGCCAAGTTGGCACATAAATGCAATCATTTTGTCCTAAGTGGGATGAAGTAAATAAACCTATGATGTGATAGTAAATGGGGATGGGGAGGGAGTTACTTAGAGTGGTCAGGAAAGACCTCTGAGCAGGTGATGTTTAGGCTGAGATCCGACAGCTGAGAATGAGTCAGCCATGAGAAGTGTGTCAAGATAGTACTTTATTAAATCTTATTGCCAGATAGTTGAGTAGTGGAGTTTGTGAGAAAAGTATGCATCAGGAGACCACCACCATCAACAAATATTTACTGAGGGTGTGCCTCCTAAACGTACAGGGCTGTTTTGCTTCTCTAGTCTCATCCTGAAGAGGGATCAAGTGGGTACAAACAATCATGGAAGAGGGAAGGGACACTGAGACAGAATACACGACACTGTTCTTGGAAGGGTCCTTAGAACTCTGGTCAGTTCATGCTCCTTCCTCTATGAGGGCTGTGTCTAGAACCTTCTCGGACTTCTGTGTCCACAGTGCTTGGTGGAAGGTGGGGAATCTGCATCTCGTGCAGAGCAGGGCCCAGTTCACTGTGATCCTATGCAAGCCACTTAACCGGTTTCCTCATTTGTGATGGGGGAGATAATACTCTGCCTAGCACTTAGGGTTATTCTGAAGATGAAAGGAGGTACTGTTTGCTTTGGTGTTGTACAGACACAGGATATTGTGATGAAGATTCAA